GACGACATGATGGAGATCGGACTCCGACGCCTAGCGGCATACGTGTCCGAGCAGCGGGGCGGCGACCGCGTCGGGGCCCAGCGCATGTTGGGCATCGCGCCGCCTGGCGGCTCAGCCGACGTGGCCTCGACGTGGATGGTGGCCTCAGCGACGACGCGCTCGAAGATCGAGCACCAGCGCAGGGAGAGAGTCGAGGCCGAGGCACGCCACAGGCGCAATAACGACAAGGGCGGCGGTCGGAGTGACGGTCGCGGAGGGGGTCGAGGTGGAGGCCGTGGCGGCAAGTCCGCCGACTCCAAGCATGAGTAGGGGCTCGCGGCGCGCCCCGACGAGCTTGCCGTCGGGGCGCGGAGCCCTGCAGCGGCGTGGGCGCCTAGAGTGCGTGACGATCTACACCCCTCGCTGAAGCAGGTGATCTCGGCGCAGCCGGGACAGGAGGCGTTCTTTCCCATCGCGCTGGTGGATCGCCCGACCCAGATGACGAGTCGATCAAGTCGACTTCGGCATCGATCCAAGCGGAAGCTCACCCTGTGGGCTCTCGCCAACGAGTTCGTGCAGGGGATCAACTCCACGGACACGGGCTCGTGCAAGGACGTCACCCGCCCCCGCCGCAAGGAGAGCCTGTCGGAGAACATGCGGGGGCTGCATGGCCAGGTGCATAGGGTAGCTCTACGAAAAGCTAAACGGCTGGCAGAGGCGCGCCGGGACTGCGGTCTGACAGGCGTCCCCGCGGTGCTGGAGCTAGCTCGTGTGGAGGAGGTGGGCTATGGCAAGCCTGCCCGTCTGTCGACCCATGAGGCCCTGGGAGCGGAGGACATTGATGAGCCGCAGGTAGTGAAGAGTGTGAACATGCTCGAGGCGCTCGAGCCAGAGGAGGCCAGGTACTACAGCGACGAGGAGCTCGTGGTCGCCCCGTCGGAGTTGCGCAGCCGCGTGATCTTCGAGGAGCTGCAGGCCAAGTTCGGTTTCGTTGGAGGAACCCAGGAGGAGTACGAGAAGTACTTCAGCCGCGCGGACATGCCGCCCAACCTGTGGCACTTCGGGGGCCCGCAGGAAGTGAAGGCCATTGCGGGCTTCAGCACGGTGGGCAAGAAGACCAGCGGGCGGCAGCGCAAGATCATCACGATGGTGGCGGCTAGCTGAATGTTCCAAGACGTGAGGGGACGAGCTGAACACGGATTACACGGAGGAGGGGCGTTGGCCAGCCGACATGTCCCTTCGGGCGACTGGGCTGCAGCGGCGTTCGACGAGAGCAACGCCTTCTCTTTCGTGGAGGTCCCGAGCTGGATGTGGGGATGGCAGTGTGTGCCGCCCGTGCGGGCGTCCGCCGTCTGGTGGCGCCTGACGCCCAGCCAGCGAGACTCCCTAGAGCCTGAGAGTTGGGTCTACCCGATGTGGCGCCGTTTGATCATGGGCAGCTCCCACAGCGTGCACATCCTGATGTCAATCAACGCGAGGATCTGCTCCATGACGCTGAGGCGCAGCTTGGTGGACTCACAGCATGAGCGCACTCTGGCGTGGCAGGCCGGATACCAGATGCTGAAGGACGACGACTGGGCCGAGCGCCAACGACTTCGACGAGATGCCCCCCCCCCCCCCCGAGCGGGTTTTCCGTGGCGAGCTGGTGCGAAGCAGTGCGCCAAGCGCGTCGTCAGGAGACCCGCGTCTTCGTGGTCATGCACTTGTTCGCGGGGGCCCGGAGGGAGCAGGACGTGCAGCACTTCGTCGATGCGATGATGGCCGACCTGGAGCTGAAGATGCTCATGATCTCGGTGAACCTGGCCGAGGACTGACGGTGGGACCTCGGGCGCGTCGACACCTTTGAGCTGCTCTGGTCCCTGGTGGCCGAGGGCCTGGTGGACGTGATCCTGGGTGGCCCCCCCTGCTCAACTTGGAGTCGTGCGAGGTTCAGGCCTGGTGGCCCGCGACCCTTGCGCCGCCGAGGGAAGTACGCATGGGGGCTGCCCCGGGAGAGACTACGGCCTTCCGAGGTGGAACGTCTGGACGAGGGCAACCGCCTGATGGTCAATCACCTGGCGCTGTGCGGCGGGGTGGGGGACCGCGGGGGAGCGTGGGCCCTCGAGCATCCAGACGACCCTGGGGAGGACCCGTATCCGTCCATCTTCGACACCGAGATCTTGAAGGGCCTGGAATCCAGGACGGGAGCGCGGCACATCTCTTTTGACCAATGCATTATGGGCGGGCCCTCGCAGAAGCCCACGAGGGTCACAGGCACGGTACGACTGGCGGCCACCGAAGCACTACGGTGCGACGGCGCCCACACACACGAGCTGAACTTCGGTGAGGTTAACGGGAGCTGTGGGACGACCAAGCTGGCCACCTACCCACCTCGGCTGTGCAGGTGGATAGCAGAGGGCATCGTGGCCACGCTGTCGGAGATGGCGCAGACTGGCGGCGGGCCAACTGGACACGTACGAGATGGAGTGAAGTGTCAGAGAATCACGTGCTATTCGGGGCCCTTGGACCTCGGCGCCTTCCATTTCTTGAACGAGACGTCCTCGCGAGGCCGCGGGGCAGTGCTGGGCGCGAGGGACACGAGCTTCTACCTCCATATCGACGACGGTCTGATCGCGGCGGACGGCGGGTCCCAGCAGTCAGGCGAGAAGAAGGTCAACAAGCTGGTCCACCAGGTGGCAGACGCGCTGGAGGACGTGGGCTTCGTTGTGAAGGATCGGAGGGAGCACGGCATGGTGGATCGCATCGTGGGCTACGAGGTGGAGGCTAGCCCCGCACGAGTGCGGGTCCCGAAGCGCAAGGCGGCACTCATGTACGAGGCGCTGCTGCTGCTCACGAGGCGGGACTGGGTGCACCTGGACCACCTGACATACGTACACTATATATATACATATATAAAAATATATGTGTATACACATACATACACACCTACATACATACCCCTCACACCAGAAATCAATGTGATCAACGCGGGAGGCAGGAATACTAGGAGGGGGCGGGGGGGAGGCATGGGTTGAGGGAGGGGGAGGGGGGGACGCGGAAGGAAGCATGACGCTGGTGGCAAGGAAAAGGAGTGCTGGAGGAGGGAGGCGGGAAGGACGGACGAGGGATGAGGGTAGCCGAAAAGGACCAGAGCAAGGAGAACCGCGCAGGAAAGCAGGAGAGACCGGAACGGCGAAGGAGGGAGGATCCAAGAGTGATGATGGAGAAGTGAGGAAGGGGAGGAGGCGGTGGAAGAGTGAGGGAGGGTATCAGAGGAGAGAACACAAAGAGAGGGCGGAGGACAAATAATGCGGAGCGGGGAAAGGGGAAGCGCACGGAGGATGGAAAGCTCAAAAAGGAGAGAGGAAGGAGGGCTGAATGAAGAGGATGAAGAGACGAGCACGGAGGAGGATGAAGAAGAATGGTGGAAGACGGAGAGGGGGCGAGGAGGAGATGAGGTGACGATGCAGACGCAATGTGTCTTGCCAACCCCTCGACTGCTAAGCTAGTCCGAACAGCCGAGTGGCACCCGCCAGCGCCCGCTCGACGCCTCCAAATCGGCCCTGATGGCGACGATGTACACGCGCTTCCGCTTCTGGGGCAGCACCGCCTCTCTTCGCCAGGCGAGGGCACTTCGAGAGCGGAACCAGGGACCGAAGGTGGGCAGGACATGCGAGGGGAACAGGGCAAGATGGATTCAATTGGATGTGAGATGGCGGCGCTGGCTCGCAAATCCCACCAGCCCTCTGGGCGTCGGTGGTCTAGAGAGTTTCCTCTTCCAACCCCCTTCTTCCCCTTCGGGGAGGGGTTCGCCCCTCCCCCTACCCCCTCCCCTGGACCTGGACGGAGGGCTCCGCGGGTCGTTGGGGCGTCCAAGATGGCCCAAGACGGCTCCATGAGGGCCTCAGAGAGCCAAAGATAGCCTCCAAGATGGCTCAAGATAGCGCAAGATGCCTCAAGATGGATCCCAAGATGCTCCAAGATACATAAAGACCGCACCAAGACGGCCCCAAATGGCCAAAGAGCTCCCCACGGAGCTCCCCGAGAGGCCAACATCATGCCAAAACCTACGGGAAATCAATGTGTTTGGCTTTCTTGCTTATTCGCTTCCGATGGCCTTCACAGGCCTCAAGATGGCTCCAATATTGCCCAAGAGGGCCACAAGAGAGGCCCACGAGAGTCTCAAGATGGCCCAAAGAACGCCCAAGAGCGCTCCAAGATCGCCTCACGAGGGGCCCAAAAAGCGATTCGAGGTACTCTGGAAGGGCAGGGCTAATATACGACCCCCCGTTCTTTGATAGATCTCTTCCAACATGGCCCCAAGAGCGCCCCGAAGGCTCCCAAGAGCGCCCCAAGAACGCCCCAAGAGTACCCCAAGAGGCCCCAAGAGGCGCCCAAGAGGACTCCAAGAGGCTCCCAAGAGACCCCCAAGAGGCCACAAGAGGCCCCCCGAGATACGCAAGAGGCCCCCGGGACCGCCAAGAGGCCCCAAAGACGGCCCAAGAGGCCCCCAAGCTCGCCATTGTCCTCCTCCTCCTCCTCCTCCTCCTCCTCCTCCTCCTCCTCCTCCTCCACCTCCTCCTCCTCCTCCTCCTCCTCCTCCTCCTCCTCCTCCTCCTCCTCCTTCTCCTTATCCTTCCTTCTTCTCGTCCTCCACGTCCTCGCCCTCCTCCATCTCCTCCTCATCATATTCCTCCTCCTCCTCCTCCCCCTCTTCCTCCTGCTTCTCCTCCTGCTCCTCCTCTTCCTCCTCCTACTCCGACGGCGACGGCGACTCCTACATCTGCCCCCTCTTGGGGTATATGGCGGCTTACCCCGCCCTTTGTTTTTCTGCCTGCTCCCCCGCTTCCCTCATCACTTCCACTCCCCTGGGACTATTTTCCTGGCGGGCTGGTGGGGATTTTTTTTGGTTGGCGGCTCCGAAGCGGCGGACAGGGAGCGGTCAAGTTGATGCTGGTGGGGATATTTTTTTGATATGCGGCTCAAAGGACGATTCCAAGGAGCGGGTCGAAACAAACTTGGGGCAACGAACAAGATAATTGCCAGCGGGCCAAAAGCCAAAGCCGGAATGCACATGCGAGGAACAAAATGAACCTCATTAAGCCGAACCAAAACGGCAGCCGACGACGGACAGCGGGGCGTCGCGCAGTGGCGCCAGCACCCGACAGACCAGACGGCGAAGGGCAGGGCGACATGGGGGGGAAAAAGGGGGGGGAAGAAGGGGCGGGAGAGGGACAGGGGGGCAAAGGGAGCCTCACCCACAGAGCACCTTACGTGCGCGAAGACAGGTCGTCACTGGACCAGGCGTCGGTAGTCTTGACGTGAGCCCCGAGTCGCAACTTCCATGCGTCCGTGGACGGGGGGGGCGTCGCGTGGGACCAAGGCGGCACTACCCACCAGCGTTCAGAGGCCCCGCCTGGGGGGGGCTGCGGGCAAGTGTGCACCTCCTGAACATCGCAGAAGGGCAGGGCGTCGTTGGCGACCGCGAGCGACAAATCCTACCAGAGGAAGGGGCCGATGTCGCCGGCATAGCTGGGAGCCGGAGAACGCCTGCCAAGAGGAAGCACGGCCCTGCCAAAGGATGCACCACTTGTACAGGAAGCCAGCCTCCACGGCCCACCTGCCAGTGCCCCATCGGGCGCGCCTTGCCGCGTGGAAGGAGTGACCACCTCGGGGCAGGCGCGAAGACGTGGCACTGTTGAGGGGAAGCCGACTGGCGTGACCAGCACCACAGCGCGCGTGGAGGAGGGGGGGGAGGCGCAGCCGATAGCCGCAAAACTGGGGAACACAGGAAGGAGAGCACAGGTGGGCCAGGCGACACAGACTGCCGAGGACCCAACAGAGCGTAGCCCGGGGCGCGTCAGGGGGGAAGGTCGTCGGCGTCGCGCAGCGGGACGGGCCCGTCGTGGAAAGGCTGAGCCTGCCAAAGGATGAACCACTTGTGCAGGAGTGTGCCTCACCTGGGCCCACCCGCAGGTGGCGGTCGAAGGGCCCGCCACTGCAGTCGTCGTGAAGGAAGAGGGGGGGCGCAGCCGATCGCCGCAAATCGGTTGAATACGAAGGAGGAGGAGAGCCACGTGGCGACGCAGGCAGTCTAGGACCCAACATGGCGTAGTCGGAATGTAGTCAGAGGGAAGGCGCCTGCCTGGTGGGGGGAAACGCCACCAGGGCAAGGCCGCCTGTCGTCGGATGTTCGTCTGTCGTTTGTGGTCGCCGTCAGGGTCGACGCCGCGGTCGTGCTCGTGGTCTAGAGGGCCCAACGGCGCACGGCAAGAGCGCCTGAAGGGGGGAGGCGCCCGCCACGCAGAGGACCCAACCGAGCGTTTCAAAAGTGGCGCACTACAGCCCGACCGGCATATGGCAATCCTGCGGCAGTGACCATAGAGGACCCAACAGCGCGTCGCAAGAGCGGCCCACCTGATGGGGGGGGGGGGCGCCCGCCTGCAACGCGAGCATTGGACGGAGGGGGGAAAAAAAGAACCCAACAGAGAGCGTAGCAAGAGTGGAACGAGAGGACCATGAATGAGAGAAAGGGGTCAGCTCGTCGGGGGGGGGGGGGGGGGGGGCAATGCCACGTGAGCCGGGCGCCACCGACCCAGGTGCAGCTGCCACTGCCGGGTCCAGTCGACGTTGAAGCCCAGCGCGTCGCTGAGGACCCGTACGTCGCACTTGTGGCTGCGGAAGGACTCCAGGAAGAGGTGGCGAGCGCGCCCTTGCCGCCGGGCACAGACGGCCGCTTGGCGAAAGCGTGCCAGGTGCAGGTGAATTTCGATCCTAGTGTGACTTGGAGTCGTCGCATCGCTTCGCCGGGCGTCTTCCCGGGGAGGTCCCACTGGATGTTGTTGATTCCTGTTTTGTACAGCTGCTGCTCCGTGTGGGGGTCTTTGGGCCCTGGCCATTGCCGCGGGTCGGGCCTCTGGTGTGGCCGTGCGTCCTGGCCGCAAGTTTCCACCGGAAGGGCCTCTGCGTTGGCTGGGGGGCTCGCGATCTGCTCGCGACAGCTCCAGCTGCGCGCCCGGCAGGACTTTGCGGGGAAATGCAAGCCTCAAGGTTGGCCGCCAGGCTGGCGCGGCGCGGGGGGGGCTGCTCACTAGTGGGAGGCCTGTGCCAGGATGGGAGTTGGGCCCATGTCCTGCAGTAAGAGCGCCCTGCGCAGTACTGTGCGTCCGCGTATAGTGGCCCGAGTCGCCTGCCTCAGCCTCAGCCTGGGGATGCTCTCCTTGCACGGTGCGGGGGGAACATGGCGCGTCCACGTCGTTGTCGGCGTCTACGTCGTCGACGTCGGCGTCGTCGGCGTCGGCGCCGGCGTCGGCGTCGTCGTCAGCTTCGGCCTCGGCTTCGCCCGTGCCAAGATGTGGGTTGCGCCCATGTCCTGCTGTGAGAGTGCCCCGCGCAGTAGGGGGGGAGGAGAGGAGGGGGCGCAGCCGATAGCCGCAATATCAGGTAAATTGAAGGACGGGAGGGAGGCATCGGCGATGCAAGCGTGCATGTGGCAGGTCGATTCCTCAGTGGCAGCTCTTTCCGCGTGGGCCTGTGGAGGGTCTTCTGTCACCACAGGCGGGGGGATTGCGTTGCCTCCCTCTTTGGAAACAGCTCGATCTCCGTCTGGTAATCCTGCCACAGCCACACCGCGGGCACGTCTCCGGGCCTCTTTCCCAGCCGCAGGGGACGATGTGAGAGCGCTTTGCGCAGTGGGAGGGGGAGAGGAGGAGGCGCAGCCGATAGCCGCAATATCAAATACATTGAAGGAGGAGAGGGGATCGGCTATGTATCCTCGCGCGGGGCACGTCGAGTCGTCTTGGATGGCTCTTTCCTCGTAGGCTTGTGGAGGGCCTTCTGTCGCCACTGGCGGGGGGAAAGTGTCGCCTCCCTCTCTGGTGGCGCCCTGGGCGCCTGTCGAGGGCGTCGGGGGCTCGCCGCCCGCAATTGGCTCACTGACAGGGGGCGGGGGGCGAATAGCCGCGAAGAGGTTTCTCTCAACGAGCAAGCGTATGGCTTCGCTGTCCTGCGTCTGGGTGGCAGCTCCGCGGCCCCCCTGCTGAGTGCGTGACTCCCCCGGGGGATTGCTGACGGAATGGTTGTCCTGAGGGGGGTGTCCCGCGGCCTCCGCAGCCTCCGCCGACTCCGATGTGACTTCCCATTCCTTTCCTCTGGTCTGTTGGTCCTGCTGGAGGGGGGAGTAGTTAGAATGAGCCGTACGCCGGTCACTGCATGTTGCCTCCTCTCGAGGGTCGTTCGCATGAACCGCGCCCTGGAAACTGCGTCCCGGATAACTGCTGGCGCACTGGTTGCATTGTGGGGGACATCCCGCGGCTTCCGCAGCCTCCGCCGTCTCCGCCGCGACTTCCCCGTCCATTCCTCTGCCTTGCTGGTGCAGAGGACTGCTGACGGACAGTTTGACCAGAGGGGGTACTCCGCGGCTTCCGCAGCCTCCGCCGTCTCCGCAGTGACTTCCCGTTCCGTCCCTCTGGCCTGCTGGTGCAGCTGAAGGGGGGGAACGTTCGTGTAAGCTGTGCACTGGTCACTGCAGGCTACCTCCTCTCGAGTCCCCACTGGGGCGCCATCGTCTGACCACGATGTGGGGGGTGGTATCTTGGCCTCTGCCTCAAC